AGCTCTCACATCCATCCATGGGAATAGGGAATACAATGGCTTGGATGAGTCTGACTTTTGTGCGGAGTTGTATATCTTTGCATTTTAGGATCTTTTCTAGTTCTTTCATAGTAATAATAATAATAATAATAATAATAATTTTACCCCACCCCTCTGACGAACAATTGAGGCACCTTACAGTAGTTAAAATTTGTACAACATATTAAAATACAATACAGAGTCCCCAAACCCTCCCACCCCTTAAAACTAAATTTAAATAGCCCCCCTCCCAACTCTTAATCTTCCTCTGATTTCCTGACTGCCGTCCCCATTTCTATCAAAGTTTGATCCAGGGATGGGAATTCTTTGACTATTTCTATTTCCTCGTTGTCTAGGTTGAACTTGTGAAGGTCCTCCTCGGTGGCCATTCTTTTTGTTTTCTTTATGCTCAACATTAAGCCTGCCTTTGCACTGTCACATTTTAAAACAGTCCACATTTAAAATTCAGCATCTAAGTTTAAAATGATCTGGATGAGCCTGCCGTAAGACAGGTGGGCAAGGGCTGGCCAGGACCATGGAGAGGAGGAAGAAACCAAAGGGCCTTTGGGCAGCCATTGGGGAGCCAGCAGAACCCATTTCTCTGCCTTTGCCCCATGCATTTTCACATGTATCCTTGTTCTCATTCCGCCTCTGCCTCGCTCTTTTTATTTCACACGCTCACTCTTGCAAGGATTCATTTGGACTAATTCTCTGACACGCTGACCCAATTCTCTGAGCGGCATTTCTTTCAGGCTCAAATGCAGTACATTGGAGTCCTTTATCTCTTTGTTTGGGACACACACAAATCTCTCACTCGCTCACACGCACACTGCCTGCTTTTTTGTGCCTGCTGTCCTTCTTGCACCTTCTTAGCTAGTTAATTCTTACACATACACCCCTCGGTTCACGGCCTCTCTCCCTCTTGCACACACAAGAATCATTTCGCACACGCTCAGACTCTCACACATGCACACCGTGACACTTTCTCCGTCATGCACACGTTAATTCTCTCGCACAAAGTGATGCTCTTTTTCTGACGCCCTCGGATGCATTCATCCACACTCAAGTCTCACACACAAAACTCCGTCGCACACTTCCATATCTTTTTTGCACCCTTGCGTAGGCACTCATTCACACAAGAGAATGAGATTGTGAGAGAGTAAATGAGTACGTTTAAGAGTGGGGGGGG